CTAACTCTGGCCCAGAAAATCAAAAGTGCCATTAAAAATGTTAAGTCCATTAATATGTCACTTTCAAACCCTCAGCATTTCAGACAGTTGATCTTATAAAAGGAGTTGTGTGGCACACACACAAAGAAAATGATTTCTTATTCAAATGGCTGTGTCAGGTGAAAATGAGGTATTTGTATTCAAGTAAACACCCCCAAACTACTCCAAAATCCCTACATGTGGGCTGGAATGAATTTATGAACATGGGATTAGAGAAAGTTGTCAGCACTCAAAGCACTGAAAATCAATTCTACTCCTTATATGTTTGCTGTGGCCTCATTTCCTCTCCCAGGCAGAACTCAAAGGAAACAAAAATGCCAAATTTTTCCATATAGAATCTGAGACAATGGTGCTTCCAATGGAGCATCTTTTATTTTTACAATAAGCATTTCAATTTTTAGAGAGAGAGATGAGAAAGACCAAACTTTCTGCCTTTTGACCAAATGTAGTTTAAAGTTTTTATTTAATTTTTTAAGGCTTACATTTTAATTAGCCATGAAGATTTTTTTATTTCATAAACTATGTATTATATTAAATGTCTCAAATATTTGGAAAATATAGCCTTTTGGTATTTCAATTTATAATTACATATTTGTTACATAAATACATAAAATATACTTTATATAAATTATATACATTGGTATAACATACCATATTATATAGTGTAATTCTGCACATTTTCTGAATCCAATAAATTCAAGAACATTACAAATGGAAATCTAGTGCATTAGACATCAAAATTTTTAGCATTCTTGAAAGTCTCCACCTATCATCAGCATGAGGATATTTTTTTAAGTAAAGTTCAACCCTCCAGAAAATCTGCTTTCCAGGATTTGGGAGCTGATGGTAAGACCTCTTGGTCCTCTATGGCTCTTCAAATGACTGAATTTCCATCAATAATTTTGCTTTTGAGTTAAGGCCCTGTGGTTCCAAAAAGAGAATTCAATCTTTCCTTCCTAGAACCCCAACTAGGGTAGCTCCTGAGATATTCATTCATTCATTCATTCATCCAGATATATACTTATGCGTTCATATTTATGTGCAGCCAATCTACTGGATTCATAATCTCTACTAGATAAATAGCAAGCTGAGAAAGAGTAGTAAACAAGAGACACATAGAGTCTATGCCAGTAAAGGCAGCTGAAGCAACTGTTTGTGATAGTGCAGTTTTGTGTAGTGTGGCTGGATACAAAGAATCTGGTAGCAGGCGGTGAGAAAGAGTAAGAGTGAGTATTACACATGTATGGAAATGTCATGACAAAACTCTTCACTATGCACAATTTAATAGGCACCTTATTCAAAGTGCACTGTATACATATATGGAAATATCACAACGAACCCCCTTTTGTTCTAGTAATGTGTGATAGCAAAAAATTTTTTTAAAGAATCTGAAAGTCAAAGGTCAAAGATAGATCATCATAAATAAATGTGCCAAGGCATTCCTCGTGTTAAATTCTCTCCCTGCTGTCACCTCACCAGGAACTAAGACCTAAGCATTTAACAACAAATGCTTTGAGCAAATGTCTAGAACATTCTCTGTACCCGAATCCCTCAGTGCTGGGTCCAGGAGATTTATCTTTTTATATTATTATACTCTGAACTGGTGTGACCGCTGTCATGCTGACTTGTTAAGTAGATTTGCTGAAGCAAGATCCACATGTAGGGAGACGTTTTCATGAATGGTATAAAAATCATACACACCAGCTATGTTCTCATGGTAGATCCAAGGACTTCCTTCAAGAATAAAATCCCTGGCCATGCAGTTTTTGTGAAGTCACCTTTTCCTTAGAAAAAGAATAATTTCCATTTGTCAAGGGAACAAAAAAACCCTGTAATAATAAGGGAGACCTCTTCCTAAAGAGTCACATTTCATTGCTGCTTTGAGACTGACAGCAATGTGCATCCTCTCACTACTGCCACCTCGTGGACAGAGGTGATTCCTTTAGACAGCACATAAGAACATGTCTTAGCATGACCACAAGATGGCAGCATATAACCAAGTTTCAAAGAAAGGCTCAAAAATACCAGGGTGTTTTACCTCGCTCCTTTGTCACAGGAGCGAATGAGTAGGAAATAACCGTACAAAAAGAATTCTATTCTCGTTTCCTGAAGGTAAATAGAATCCAAAGTTTTACAATCTTGAGTATTTCACAAAGGAATTGATTTATTGTGGAAATAACGAGTATCTGAAATTTAATTGGCAAGTTAGCCTGATTTTTAAAACTATTTCAAGCAATATTTCAGTTTTTCTGATATTTTCTTCATAGAGTGAAATATTTGGGTGTGTTTTTATATTGTTATTTTAATGAACTTTTTATAATTGATTAAGGAATTGCCTGTTCCATAATATATTCATTTAGAACCCACAAATTTTTATCCAAGTTCTTAGCAGTGAATGGTTCGTGAAGGCACATTGTCAGTTTTATCCTGAGCAAAATTCTTCTGAATCAACATACTCTCCTATTACTTCTTTTTGTGCCAAAATCTGCTAATGTTTTGCTTATCATATTGCTACTATATATATATATATATTTGGACCTGCACTGCCAAGTCTTACTTGTTAGGCTATATTTTTAGTAAAATTCAAATATTGCACTAATAGTCTTCTCTAGAATAGATTTCACCACAAACCTGACAACAACTCTTACTTAATTAAGCACTTATTAGATACCTGACATCATTTCAGGTCCAGTATGTTGATTAATTTATCTAATCCCTGGCCCAGAATTATAAGGGACAGGTTAATTAAACTCATTTTACAGAAGATAAAACTGAGGCCAAAAGGGGTTAAGAAATACTTTCTGGTTCATGCAGAACCATTGGTATTTTTGCCCGCCCAGATCTCTGAACATTTGCTTGAAATTATTCCCACTCTCCAGATATGAAACAGGAGAAAACTAAGCTTCTTTGTCTGATGATGGTGCAGGATTTAGATCTCTTTGGATAGGAGCATAACTCTGTGACCTGAAAGATCCTTTTCAATTCTAAAGCTTAGTAAGCCAAGACTCTTGACCCAAGGAAGGAAAGTTGCACTTTGCACAACAACAGTCTTTCCAGCCAGGTTTTTTTTTTTTTAATGTTTCCATGTCCCAGTGATATCTCTAGACAATAAAACAAAATATATAATAGCTGAAGGATATTGGAAATAATGTGGTGGGTTCTGAGTGCAGACCTGAAAACCCCGAATTACAGTCTCAGGTCTGCCTTTTGCTATCTGTGAACCTCTCTGGGCTTCAGTTTCCTCACATAATAATGATCACATTCTCTGCAATTTTAAGGCAATATGTTAATTTCAAGGAATATATATTAAATCAGGTCTTATGAAAAATTTAGTGGCAGTGCGCTTAATATACAATTGAAACATCAGTGGTCAGATGATGACACATACAGAGAAGGCTGTCAACAGGTAGAGACCAGTGTTCTGTATATTGAGAGAACCTGGCTCCACTTTGGGTGTAAATGTGGCATCAGTGGCTGGCTCTGCTAGTAGAGAACTTACTCCATCCTTCTGTGTGAACTTGAAGGTTAACTGGAATATTATAAACAATGCACTTTCAAGGATGGTAGGATATTCTTGAGCATCAGAAGTGCACTGCAAGCCCAGAAGACTGTGCTCTTCTTCCACATATGACTAGTTTAGGGACACCAGCCTAACCTGCAGACATGGCTAACTCTTAGGAACAACCTAGGCTAGCACTGGTTTTGTGAATGATGAATTGTAGTCATATGTTTTTACACTTTAGACATCAGGACAATTGTGCCCCTCTTTATAACCATCATAAGAATGCCAGGAAATGTTATACTGTTGAGGACTTCTCATAACCTACTTTACATGGACAAATGAAAAATCTATAAGGGAGGAGATTAATAAGTTGCACTGAACCTTGTTGACCTGATTTGAAAGATCAGGTCTCTGGCTGAAGAGTCTAGTCACTTTATTTGTTTATTGAAATCATGTTACTCTGGAAAGCAGGACTATGTTCTGGTAACCACAGAGAAGAAAATCTGTATCCCAGAGCCCGTTAAGGCTTCTATATCTAACCAAGCATTAAGTGGGTCCTGAGATTCAAAGTTGTATCCTGTGGAAACTTTGCATATTTCCTTCTAAACACCAAGAGCATTATTATTTGATGAGGATAATTAAAAGGAAATCCAAAATTTGACCTATATTATCTCTTCCAACCTGGACATTTATTTACACATGCACAAAGTATTTGTTGAAATCTTCTATATCTCAGGTGCTAACCTAAGCACTAGGAAGTCAGTGATTGACAAGACATACACTGTTCCTGCACTCATGGAATATATATTCTAGTAGAGAAGACACACCATAAGTAAGCAAATAAGAAAAATGTGATGCCAGGTGGAGATTAAGTACCACTTAGATTAGTAGTACCCAGCAAAAGAGTAAAGAAAATACCATAGAGTATTCTGAATTGGAGACATTACAGTAGAAATCTGAATGAAGTGACTGAGTCAGAAATACAAAAATCTGGGGGAAGAACATTTCAAAGACATGAAGTGGTATATAACAAAACTTTCAAAGTTGAATGAACTTGCTTGTTAGAAGAAGAGCAAGAGGCCAATTGTCTTGAGTGGAGTGAACTGGGGACAAAATGGTAGGATAGGGACTAGACAAACACTATTGCACTAAATCACAGTGTAGAGTGCTTTTTCATTCCATCTTCAGGATCCTTTGTGCATAACCTGTGGCATGGAATATTTGTAGTTGCAATTCGTTTTTGCTGCCTCCAACTGCACAACATTTGTTCCAATACAATCTCTTTCCATTTGCCTTTCGCTCGATCTCTGCCAATCTCTCCTCCTACCACAGTGCTCTGTCCTGCTTTTCTCTCATTCTCCTTTCAGTGGAGAGTACCACACTGCCTTCACGTTTACTCTCAATTGATAAAGATTGATTTTTTTATTTGTTTTTGTTTTGCTAAATGTTTCTTTTTTAGAAATTGGCACCACCGTGCACTTCAAGCAAAAAGGTATGGTTCTTATTTTTGATTACCTTCTATATATTAATTAAGATCTCATAATAATATATTGTAGTCTTAAATTTGTGGTGATGATCTCCATAGTATATTTGGCACTATTTTTCCCAAATGGTAAACTTTCTTATTTACAAAAATCCTCTGATCCAACCCATGATCTCATTTTGCTTTTGACAGTTATTTGCTTTTAATTCCTTGAGACTGAGCAAGTTATTCTCTGCTCTGCCCTTCCCCTGACCTCTACATCCTATGTCCTTCATCCTAAGTGTCCAGTTAATTATTACAGAGATGGATTTTTAGAAGGGTCATTGTCTAATGACAGGGATCTCAGAAAATACACAGAGCCTTTTTTATAGTCACTATTCAAGTAAATCCATTGCTAGACCATGACATCTAGACTAGACATAGCAAGTAGAGCAGCATCTCTTAAAATGAATCACCAACATGGTATATATTTCTTCCTGCCTCATCATTCTACCAGGTCTTCCTAAAGCCTCACTTGCTGCAGTGGAGCTCAGCTGCTGGGCCCTCATAGGAACTGACATTTCAGGTCCGCATGTGCTTTCCATCAGCCATATGACACAATATCCACATTCTTGTCTCCACAGGACAGTGCAACCAGCTCAAAGCTTCATAAAATGGACGCTGAAATGCAAAGAACTAATTCCAAGTTGCCTTCTTTTCCAAGAGATAATCCCTCATAGTGTCTGTCACCAGACCAGAACCACAGAGGCACCTATGTAGCCAGGCAATGTCCTCCTTAAGTACTTGTCATCACCCATTTGATTGGGAATTGTCTCATAGAAAGACGTCTTCCTCTCTGAGTATCAAAGAGCATGAGACATCATGATCATTATCAATAGTGAAAAGTTATTCCTGTGGGACTTAGGTCCTACCAGCACCCAACAGCCACAGAGATCATGGATACTTTGTTGCTTATTCCAAGAAAGGATCAGCACCTTGTTGACAGCCTACTCTAGCAGATCCTCACAAAAAGCAGCAGGAAAGTGGAAGACAGGAATATGTACTTGAAAATGAGGTTAGAAGGCATAAAATATTGTCATCATCAGTCCTTCTTCTCTCCCCAGTGCTCTGATCACCAAATTACCAATTACACATGATACATAGGATCTTTAACTGGCTAGTGCTGCGTGTGATACCTGAGAGCTTTTGTGGATGACCAAATAAGCTTAGTATTATTTTAATTTCCAAGACTATCAAGAAATATTTCCAGTGTCGACAGAAGTAGCGGCTTTTTTAAAAAAAAATTTTAATTATGTGTCAAAATTCTTGATGCTGTTTTGATGGGAAAGATGTGATGATTCCAAATTTAGAGTGGGGATACTTCAGCCTACCACAATCTCACTTTATAGAGGGTTAAGATAATGCATGAATACCTATGTAGGAAGAGCCCACACTTAATTCTAAAATCCATTATTAAAAGAAAACATTAGTATTTTCCTCCTCTAATCAGCTCCAGCCTGGAGATTTCAGGCTTACATTCGAATTCATTCACCCAAAAGAATCTGTACTGGCAGAAAATTGACGGCAGGTGGCGCCAAAGTCAATCTTATCACGCTTCCCTTTCAATATGGCTTCCCCAGACACCAGCATGTAATCCGCACATTCAGATCATACCGAAGAGAGATATTTAAATTCTATAGATTTTAATCTTCTTTGTTTAACATTGTTTTAGTAAATTGTTTAGATTTTTGTTTTATTTTTGGTCACTCTTTCAGCCCTTCACAATTCTAAAAAGAGTTCAAACTTATCTCCTCTGACACTTTTCTTCTTGTACAGCTAAACTAAATACAGGAATAAAATTATGAGTTATTCTGATTCCTTAGTAACTTGAAGAAACCCCAAAGATCACCGAGAGCATGATTAAATACAACTTTGAATAAATTCAGTCCCAAATCCAGGAAATGGCCCTAAGGATTGAGGAGAAGCGTGACTTGAAGTGCAAAGTATCTCCAAGTACATGCTCTCTCAAACAGGTGCTCAAAAAACCACCCTGTCCTTTCTTTGAAATTTTACAAAAGGCAAACCAATTGGTTCATCCTGCTATATCACAGTTTCTAGTGTAGAGATTTGCCTGCAAACCCACTTCCCAACCCTCCATTCTCATATCCCTCTGTTTCTAGATTTTTTTTTTAATCAATCTGGCCTTTATTCACAAGTTGGCCCTTCTGTAAGAATTGTCACTGTGAGGTGCAATCCAGTATTCACCCTGATGCTCACTGACCCAGCCCGGGGCTGAGAACCTTGATGTGGTTTGTTCACTCATGGTTTGTAGTCTGGCTGCAGCTGTCTACAGCATTAAAAGCCTTGACCAAATTCACAACCCAATGTCTTGGATTCAGGTTGGTATTTCATTGGTTTGTGTATTTCAAATTTCTATGTTTATAATAACAATGTTGCCATTTACTGAATATTTACCAGCTACTCACACATATCTATGTGTGCACACATGTAACACACGTATAAAATGTGGTGAAATTCCAAGATACAATTGTCTGTTCTATAAGAAACATGTAGTAAGTTTTTGAGTTGTGGGTTCTATTTGCCAATCTATTCTTAAGGATAATTTATGTTTGCAGACTCTTGCTTTCATTATATCTGTCAGTATATGAAAGCACTTGCTAAGCCTGGCCATCTGGCATGAGAAATAAGATTTACCATTTGCATTTCCACAAATAAGCAGAAATTTCATAACTATGAACTAAAGCATAATTAATGATTTTGCTGATTATTTTTCCTTGAAATAGCCATTAACTGAAGTAGTCTCCTATGCAGTCATATATATCTGTAATTGCATACACACTTGTGATGATTCCCCAACTCTCACCCATTACCCTGGTATTTCTCAAGTCTGTTTATTTACTCTCAAAACCAATTATGACAAGAGCAAGTCACATAAGCACATTAAATAGCTATACAAGAGTACTTAATAAATAAATAATTGGTAGAAATGAAGATATCTTTAACAGATACACACAATGATTTCAAATGTATAACAATACTATCAGGGATAAAATTCAAGAATATTAACATATCCATATGGGAATTCCCTATTATATCATAGAATAGAATGTGAAAGTAACACTTAACACTTATTATATGTACTAAAAGACCAAGAATATGTGTGCATATTATATGTGTACACACGAGTATCTATACAACAGGTATACTTCCTCTGTGTATAAATATACATACATAGATAGATGTACACATGCAGTAGCAAGAATGTTTTACGTGAACATGTATATCTGGGTTCATATATACATATATAATATTTTTGATGGCACAATTTTTGCTTTCTTAAATATTTACTAAAATGCATATCTTCTCAACTTTCCCCAGATACCCCTCAGATCCAGGATGTCAGAAAGACAATCTAGCCTGTCCTCACACTAAAATAAGATTATAGAAATAAGCCAAAGTAGACTTTTTTGAGTGCCCAATTCATACTTCCCCTGAAACAAAACAAAAATCATTTTTGCTTAACTATGTAAGACCTTAATTTTTGTGTAGTTTTTCTCTGTTTGAAAGCCTCAGTGATACATTAATGTAAACAAATGTTCGAAGGAGCTCATGCCCTCTAATATAGAGAGAAGAACTAAAAGGATGGGGAATAAATCATTGCCACTGGGCCAGAACAGTTTCCATTAAGAGAGCTCGGTGGTCCCAAAATCCAAAAAGTATGGAGCGAGCGGAAAAGACATTGAGCTATGCCTTAGAACACCTGGACTCTAGTGTTGAGTCAACAGTTATTAGCTATGTGCTTTATTCAGGATGCTTAATCTTCTTGAGCCTCAATTCTTCCTAAGGCATAGACCTGAAGGTAGTGAAAATATCTTGCATTAATATGATCCCATAGCCACTCAGAAAATGAAAAAATTAGTTGGCTAAATATTTAATTTGTTTATTCTGTATCTCCGTAGTTTTATACATGATAAAACACACACACACAACTCATCTTACATAGCAACTATGCTGCTCAAAGTTTTCATATCTTTATATTTTCATATTAAATAATATTCTGAAGAAGGCATTATAGCAAAAAATTCAGAATCATTTTTATGAAGATAATGGCTGTCTCCTTGCAGTTTTTGTTTGTACTGTCTATTGTTTTAACCAAACTCAAGTTGCAGTTGCCAAATATTTGACAAAGACACTCACAGCTGCATTTTACTGTTGAACTTCACTGTGTAGTGGTGGCAGACAAAGACTCTGGGGTCAGACACAAAACCCCAGACCCCCTGCTTACAAGTGGTAGAAGCTTGTGAATGAGTTTAATCTCTCTGGGTATCTAGTATTTCACTGTGAAACAGGTTTCCTTATAGTACTCACCTCGTAGCATAATTGTGTAGTTATATTTATAAGGCACCTATAACAATACACTGTAGTAAGTGCTATGCAATTATTGGTAAGAGTTTTTTTTGTCATCATTGCTTCATTATTTATATAAAGCATAGGTTAGAAGGCCATTAAGCTTTTCTTCCTGTTCCCCTACATCCAGTCTACTCTGTCCTCAAGCAGTTTTAGAAAAATTCACATAGCAGAGGATGTTTCCATTGCAAGTGCAAGCGATCAGGGTTTTACACACACACACACGCACACACACACATACATACACACACACATGTATGTACTGCACATGTGTTCATATGAAGATCTTCAATGTCCTTAAATTTCAAAGTGACCTACAATTACTGTCATAGGAGTTTCCTTTCTTGCACATCGAGGTCAAACTATGTAATGTAAAGCCAAGTTCTCTGCAGTCAAAAATATGCTTTTCTTTCCCTTTAATGGAAAATGAACAGCTATAAATAAGAAAGAAATGGGATAAGCAAAGCACAGAAGAGAAGCTCTTGAGTCAGACCTACAATTTCAGCCCTTTCTCCACCTCATCTACATCCCACTCTCCCTCTGGTACCCAGAGCACCTCAGTTGTGTCTACATCGGCAATACTAGGTGGCACTAGGGAACACAGACTATCATGCCAGGATCAATTCTTAGTGAATTCAAATCTCAGTCCTGCTCCAGGTTTGGACCTGCTTTTAACCTACTCAGTTTGGCAGGTTTGCTTTTGTTGTCTTTGCTTTATATATATATATATATATATTTTTTTTTTTTTAAGTGGCAAATGAGGAGTTTGGGCAAAAATGAGCCCTGCTTCCTCTTAAGACTGCAATGTGTTGACTTGTTTTCTACCTTGCTAAGGCACATACACCCATAAATGTTACAATTTTTATAACATTTGTAACAATTTCCTTCCCAAGTAACAAGTAATTACTGCTTCTCCCCTAAGAAACAAAGGAGTCCCAGACTGACTCCATGTTTTACTGATGAAGTTGCTGTGTTCAGTGGGCAAGGAGAGCCCCTCTGGGCTGCAGAAGGTCCCTGCTTGGAATCTTACACCATGCTGCAGTCATGGTGGTATGTGGGGAAGGCATGCAAGAGGAGTCTGGGTCACCAGAAGCCTGCAGGGCTATCAGACAGTCCTGAGACCCAGTTTAGGACTTCTCTAGCAACAGTAGTATTGCACTTAAAAATATTTCAACAAGTGATAGTTGCATCCCGTAAGATAGTTGCACTTCATGAAGGACAAGGACTTAGGAGCGGTTTTGAACCCTTCTTAAGCACTGACATAGGGAGATCAATTCCTGACCAAGTCTTACCTCTAATACATAAGAAGTCAGCTATCCCATAGAATGAACAGGATGTAATTATTCTGTTTCTCCTCTTTTGCTCTGCAGGACCTGGTTCGGTGAGAGGAATAAATGGATCCATCAGTCTGGCCGTACCACTGTGGCTGCTGGCAGCATCTCTGCTCTGCCTTCTCAGCAAATGTTAATAGAATAAAAATTTTAAAATAATTAAAAAAACACACAAAAATGCATCACACAGGATACAGAAAGAGAGAGAGCGTGCAAGATGGGGGAGACCATTTATTTCACAATTTTGTGTGTTTATAAATGAGGGGGAAATACAAAAATGAAGGATATACAACACTTAAAAAAAATTCGAAGTCCATCAATTAAAAAAAAAGAGTATAATTCAGAGTGGGAAAAATTCTCCCAGGATGTGTGTGTATCTACCAAGCAAATGAATGCTGTGTAAAGACTACCATGTTAAGAACATCTGATGTTGTAAAAAATAAGACAAGTACCAGATGGATATTAACACCCCCCACACACTTTACCCTTCCTTCCTTCATCCTTTTTCATCTGTGGGGAAAAAAACAAGGTCTTTCCTTTGGTGTTTATATTTCCATAATCTTTTTATTATTCTGTTTTTCATTTGAGCTGACTTATAGTCATTTTGGACTATTAATGGAATCCTGTGTTGAGCCTTTATCAGGCTCTCCAGCCTCCATCTCTCTCTTTTGAGATCACCCCTTTCCCTCCAGTGTGTTTTGTCTCCCCACACCCATTCCAAATATTCCCTTTTTATCCACCTACCCCACACACCTCTCTTCACCCCCCCACCACCCCTCAGAACACTAGTCACGCCGCAAATGCTAGAAAGTGCCATTTTAATTTTCTCCACTGTGCGTGTGTGGCCGTCTTTCGCTCTCATGTGGGTGCACATGTGTGTGAGAGTGTGTGTCTCTCTCTAAAGCATGCCAAGGGAATGGTCCATGTGTACATAGATTCATTGTGCTGTAGATACTGTCCTGCATTGTAATTGTGAGATGCGGCTGTAACAAGTGGCTGGGGGAGATGGCAGGGAGGGAGGCAAGGAGCAGAGTCCCTCCCCCACTCATGGCTGTCACATGACATCAGTGTATTCAAACCAAGCTGTGTCCCTTCCATGGGCAGGACCCCATATTCCTCCTAGTCCCATCATCAGAACCCAGTCAGGAGTCACTCAGAATATCACTGTAAATGAAAGTGCCTACTATCAATGGGGTGAGCAAATGGTGGAACAAATCAGTGATGTGGATGAAATGACCTAGGAGAGAAAGAAGTTTTCTGACTTCACTCTTATTTCATGAGTCTGAGGTACTCATATATTTGCTGGCTCCTTATAGGCCAGGCCAAGTAATCCTGCAGGAATGAGCAGCATACATTGAGCAAATCCCCAAAACAGGAAGATCTCCATGTGGTAACTCCCAAGGAAGGAATTATGAGCCACGTGGAGATCCCAAGAAGCCCTGTTTTGCCTCCTCCCTAATCTTCAAATAACACTGCATTTTTCCTATCAACTTCCCTGAGCAGAGATTGTTTCCTCTTTCAGATGTAATACAGTGAGAGTGAGCAAGAAAGAAAAAATATTCTGAACACACTGTCAGAGTATTAACACAAAGCATTGACCATAACAAGAGGGAATTCGCACCTTGGACTCCTTTGCAGACTTTTGTCCTGGTGTTCTAGGCTAATACTTTATTTGGTTGCCAACATAGCCCTTTTCTGTTCCTCTGCTGATGTTTGTAGTACCAGTATCCACAATGGTTCATCATTATCCTAAGCCAGACACAAGGAATTCACTTTCCCTGCTCTAAATTTAAATCTATCAGAGTCATTGTGACATTAACACTGAAATATAAGCTAATTCCAAAACCAAAAGACCTTGGCAACTTGTAATTACTTCAGGCAGAAGTTGCATAAGTATCACAAAGTTTGGCATCAACACACCACCTAAAGAGTTTTCTTGGGAAAGGTCTTGCAGAGAGAGCTGCTGTCTGCACGCAGATATCTTTGCGAGAAAACCAAGCATTGTTCTCGCTCAAACTATAGAGGCTTTGGAATTGGTGAAGCTTTTCAAAGGACAGAGGATTATTGTTGAGGTCATAATTGAATGTAATCCCACAGAGCCAAATACGGTAGCTCGTCTAGTTTTTAAACTTTGAAAATAACTATTAAGTGATATAAAATGAGAAAATTCACAACAGGAAAGAAGGAAGAAAGGAAGGAAGGAAGGAACGAACGAAGGAACAAAGGAAGGGAGGAAGAGACAGACTTGAGCAGTATTTTAAATCTCTTCTAGGAGATTCTATAGTTTGTTTTTGAAGTTTATCACATGCTTCTCTCATGAGTCTCCAAATTTGGTTGGGGATGGGTAAGAGTATTTATAGCAGATCCTGAGATGGGACAGAAATACTAGCCCAAGAAAGTGACTAGTAAAATACAGGGAAGGGGAGCCATGTTCCTATGCATGATTAATTCATAGACAATCAGGGATTTCTCTAACAGTCTGATCTTCTTAATACAAGAATTAGAGGATACTTGTTTCCCAGATGTTGAAGAGGCAGTCACACCCTTAAATTAAAACTTTAAAAGTGTATGCTAATTTAAAAATATAAGAAGAGAAAGGAAGCAGAAGTTGATTCTGATGTCATTTAGCATTAGTTTCAGGAACATATGCCTGTGGCATGTTATGGGTTTTAATTAAACACCTGACCTTCTTATTATCTGCACCCTAACATAAGAAAAGGTCTTGGTTTTATTAAGAGAAGTTTCTCCATTGCAAGAATAGCCGGGTCAGTACCATTTGTGCTCTTGGTTTTAATATAATGGACTACATATTAAATATAATTAAATGTATGTTTTTAAAATGTGATGTTTGCCTATATCTCTAGCATATAGGATTTTAAAATATTTTCTCCTTGCTCCTGTTTCAGAGAAAACATTGGCCCCCAGAACCCTCATAGATTTGAGAATGTCTTTAAGCCATGCAGTGAATGGAAGACTATGTAGTTTAGAAAAAAGTCAGAAGAAAGGTAGGGCCAGAAAACGTACATAAAGAAGTCATGGAGACTTGACATGAGAGTTCTTGAAATTTAGTTTGTACTGCTATAAATCCATCCAAGAATCTTGTCTATTGGTAATCAGAGCACTAGAAAACACCAACTGGCTGGAAATAATGTACTAAAAGAAGTAGAATGCATCAATTAATCTGAACAACTAATGTAATTCATATCCTTTGTATAAAAAAGTGAAACTCCACCATTTATAAAGCAAAATCCTTAGCCCTGACTTTCAATTAATAAAAGTAGAAATGACCTTGACCCAGGACACTTTCCAAAGAATGAGAACTATTCTAGGATTTACAAATGCAGAGTTATAATTATACTCTCTGTGCAATCATTCATCAAGATTTTGCCTGGTTGGAGAAACATTTTTCTTGATTTAAGACCTAGAATCCTTCTATCCAAAAAGAACTAAGGCTCATACGAAAGTCAGTTTTCTGTTGGGAAAGGATTGTCCTATTGGATCTTGCCTTTCTTCCAAGTCAGACAGAACTTTTCCCCTCTTTTCCATGGGCATTTTTAAAAATAATAATAATTTTAAAAACTACATAATCAGACAACTGGGGCTATTCATAGAGACCTTGTAAAAATACTCGTGATTTTCATGGAGGACAGAAACAAAAATGTGTTTCACCTCCAAAAGATGGACTTACCTCCTTTGCACACAGAAACTAAATTCCTCAGAATGAAATTGTTTGAGTTATTTCCTCTGGAGTGAGTTGTTAACTTCTCACTTCAGAGTCACAGATTCCTCCCCAAATAATTTATGGTTTGACTGTTTCTATTAGTGAGTCTTCCCGAATTTTCTCATTTTGTTCTTTGCAGGCTTTGAATTATTTGTGGAAAAATAATATATATGTGTATGTATTTTTTTTAATCTTATCTTTGCAGATGCTATATTTACAATAATGTATGTATTATAAGAAAATTTTAGTATAATGGCTTAAACTTGAAAGGAAAAAGTATTGAATTTGGTTTATTTTTTAAAAAAAGAAAGAGATATGCTTCATTTAGAAACACAAGGAACCCCATTTTGTCCATTTTATAATTATTTGCTTTTAGACCATGTACTATGGGAATAACCATGTCCTCACAATTTTTTTTTTCATCCTTATAAGTTTTTAGCCTGGATTTAGTCGTGGTTCCCCCAAACTATCAGTTTTTATAGCAATGTAAGTGCAACATTATATCTGATCTTAAAAAGTATTAAAATCTGAAGACAAATAAACATAACACAAAAAATGGTGAGATAAGATCCAAGTTAAGAAACACAAATTCATGTTAGGAATCCCCTTCTAAGTATTCAAAATATTTCTCCTCCAAAGACCGCCTTTGCCCCAGTGATGTGAATTTTCCATCATGGTTGACCTGGAAACATCTCACTAAGTACAAAATGGAGTTTACATTTATGTGCATGCTATTGGGAAGAGGAGTAAACTGCTGATTTGCACTTAACTATGCTGTTCAAATGTCTCCAACTGAAATTCAAGAAAGAATATGTTTTTACCCACAATGTACATCACTGTCCTCCCAGCAAGGAAGCTGGTGTTAACATTAGGTTTAGGTTTAACATTTACACTGGCAAAGTGTTTATGGATATTGAGGAAAACTTATTTTAAAATCTTGATTTCTTTTCCTCACATTTACATACCATGTGCTGATTAATGAATTAGGCACCAATCAAATGTAAATCAGTGTAAATCACTAGTTTATGTACATAACTTAAACTATGTAAACTTCACTTTTCACACAGAGCCCCAGTTCAGTTGAGTCTATGAATCTTAAAGAAAAAAAATCAAAGAAAAACCAAAGCTTTTTACAGGTTAAATGACAAGAAGTAGGACTTAAAGCCTAAACATACGTTGCCTCACCCAAAGCAAGCAGGAACACTTAAAAGTTCCCTTCCTGCTCAAGTCACAAGTAAATAGTCACTCTTTGTTCCTGCAGGGCAGAAGTGGAAATTTTCCTATGTGTTACTATAGTTGTGTCGCCTGATCCAAACCAAGAGAAGTAAAGAGAAAGACAGGGCGAGTGTGAAGGGGTTCATACATCAACTCCCAGGTGACTTATTATTTCTTCCTTATCATCTAAAGCATCCTATTTAAGTAACTCCAAGACAATCTCCTGTAGTTTAGTGAACAAAATATTACTCAGTTTTTGTTTTCATTCAACAAGAGCATTGGTTAAACTTCTTTGTCATCTTAATTCTAATATAAGAAACATATTATATCCCTAAGAAATATCTTGCCAAGTCACCCTAGAAAATAATGCTTTTATTTTATCTTGTAGTCCTGCATCTCTATATATCTCTCTGAATATTACAAATTAGAGACAGAATCATTCCAATTGGGAGTATCTCTCTTAGACATGATCTATTAGAGTCTTTTTGGAGTTCCTGATGTATTTAACAGAATGACATATATTCATTTCCTTCAATCTGAACACCTGGTGGAGATGGAGTCATCAGAGATGACTTCAGGATCTTATGAATGTTCTACAATGACTGGTATAGAAAAAAATTTATGCCACATTAACATGAAACTTGCAGTTATACTCCTCTTCCTAAGATAAGTGACAACTTTAAAGTGAAATGGAAGATTTATTGG